GCGCGTTTGAAGCCGGCAAAGAAGTAAGAGTTGTGTTTTTGGATATAAGCAAGGCGTTTGATAAAGTTTGGCATACTGGATTACTAAAAAAACTTCAAGCACTCGGAGTTCGCAATCCCCTTCTACAATGGTTTGAAAGCTATTTAGAAAATAGAATGCAACGTGTAGTTGTAGAAGGGCAGTTATCTGAGTGGGAAAAGGTCGCTTCTAGGGTTCCGCAAGGATCGGTGTTAGGACCGCTTTTGTTTTTAATTTATATAAATGATATGACTGATGAATTAGAATCCTGTCCGTTCATTTTCGCCGATGATACAACTCTTTTTGAAGTTGTCGATAATCCAATGGATTCTGGACAACTTTTAAATGATGATTTAACAAAGATTTCTCGGTAGTCTGATCGGTGGTTTGTGACAATGAACCCCTCTAAAACCCGATCTATGACTTTTTCGAATAAGAGAGAAAGGTTAAATCGCTCGGTGTTGTCAATGGGAGGCTGTGATATCGAAGAAATTGATATTTACACTCACCTTGACCTTACTCTTCAAAATAATATGTCATGGAATAGTCATATATTTTCAATTTATGAAAAGGCCTCTAAACGATTAAATTTGTTAAAGTCACTAAGGTTTAAAATTGATAGGTCAACTCTGGTTTGTTTGTACAAAAAGTTTGATACGTCCAGTTATGGAGTAAATTGATGAATGAAAGATCTTATATTCCATTACGAACTGCTCAAAATATTACAGAGTATAGATGTAGGACCGAAAAATTAAAACGTCTTTCTTTCCTTCAACAATTTCCTTATGGAACTCTATTGATCTTGATATTAGAAATTCAATTTCCAAGGTTAATTTTAAAGCTAAAGTAACTACACTTTCGAGAAAAGCTTCTGTTTTTCAAACAAGATTAAGATTAGGACACTGTGCTATAAATGGTTATTTATATAGCATAAATTGTTGTAATTCTCCTATGTGTGTGTGTGTGTGGTTTAGAAAGAGAAACTGTTAAACACTATTTGTTATCATGTCCCCGTTTTGCTGCTCAACGTACAAATCTTCTTACCTCTGCTGCACAAGTTTGTGGTCAAGAATGGCAAGTGGGTAGTGACAATGAGAAGGTTAAGTTTATTGGATCTACTCAACTGAGTTATAAAGAAAATTGTGCATTATTTAGTATTGTACAACGTTATATTTTGGATACTTGTCGATTCTCCTAGTCTGTTTTTTCAGGCAATTGTCTTTGTGACTATACGTTCTTTTTGTTATTGGTTGTTTTTTGTCTTGTCTTTTGTGTTTATATACTTGTAAATATTTCTTTTCTATTTAAAAAAAAAATCAATGTAAGTTCGTGTGAGCCTCCTTGATAAGCCTATGGCTTTTGAGGCAAACATTTTAATAAAGTTTATATAAAAAAAAGTTTGCCCATAGTAACGACAAGTTTGAAACAATGAACAAATGTTTAATTTATGCATGCCGCACGGTCAATTGGAAATGGCGGTAACTTTTGTCATGAAATTGCCATAAATTTTTGTCATATTTCAATTAGGTACATTTTAATAAAAAAGATAATTAACGAGTAAGCGATGTGGCAACATTACGTCCAGGGAAAGTTTGACATATACTATATACACTAATTTAAACTAGGTATTTTATACATGGTTTCATTTAGTAAGTTTGTCGGTTTACCGTGTCAAGTTCGAGTCAAATCCGAGCCCGAGTCAACGGACTGGCTAAAATGCTGTTTTCTGACCATCATCAGAATTCGGTCAAATCTTCCCCAAAGTCTAGGAAATGGCGTTTCAGAGACTCTAAATTTAAAAATTTCCTCGGGCCTTTGGCCCTCGCTTTCAGCTCCCCAGTCGGCACTACTGGTTCCTACGGCACTGTAACCCCAACCCTATACTCCTAACCGATTTTACTCGTCAATGGGGAAGCTCTGCTAGGCATGTCCCGGCAACGTTTGAGCAACGTTTGGCGTTTGGAGCAACTTTTTTCGGCTAGAGCAACTTCAAGCAACTTTTTCCTTTTTGAGCAACTCTTTAGTACACCCTTAGTAGCGAAAAATGCTATGACTCCCAGCTTTAGCCTCTTTGGCGCTCTGCAGTTAAATGGGTTAACCAAAAAATCTGACAATGTCTCTAGTTAACCCATTGCGCCCCAGTGCACCCTACTTATTTTTTTACTTGTTTAACGCCAGACGATTTTACTCGTCAACAGGAAACTCTGCAGCTTAATGGGTTAAATTGGGATGCATATTAATTGTTGAAAGCACAAGTAAATGAAAGATCTGATGCTTTGTACAACAAGTTTAAAGAGCTCATTTCTATACAGTACTGTACATTTATTTATTATATTGTCGATGGTGGTGCGGTGCAAGTGGGGGGCGGCCATTTTCGAATTCATGTCATTGAATGGGTGGGGCAGGACATTTTGTTTAGTTGTTAATTGAATTTTGCCATCCCACCACCGGTCATAAATAATGAATGGTCCCTAGAAGAATTATGTGCAAACATAGACATATGGATACAGTTATTGCAAAAATTTGAAAACTATGTTTCCTTTTGTTATGGAGTACAATTTTGTCAACTTAGCTAGATAGGTAATTTATAACCTTTAATTCGTCATCTTTACTTTATTTATTAAATGTTTTGCAAATAACCATAGGCAGTCCAGCAAAATGTGTATTCACTTAAAAATGCATTAAACGCTTAAAAATACGTATAAAGTTCGTCTCAATTTGTTATCAACTTATCAAGCGATTTATTTGTGTAGTTCATTATACATGCAAATTCCGATGCTTACGTTATTGTATTCTCATATAGTATAATATCCTAAGGCTGGCAACTCTTTTACAAATTAAAAATATTCACACACACACTGTTACGTTCACTTCAAACAACAACAAAAACCGCTACTTTCTGAAAAAAAAACTAGATACAAAACACCTTGGATAATTTTTCTAACTTTATTCAAACATTTTAGAGTTGAAAAAAGTTTAGAAGTATTAAAATTTCATGGATAAAAAGTGGGTTTTATCGAAATTGTTTTTGTCGATAGGCGGGATACAAAGTGCACAACAAACGTCATCATCGGAAAAATTATCGGCTTGTTGCTTATTGGCTGTTGAAAAATCGGCAAATTCCGAATATAAGATGCGGAAGTCAATGAACTTACTTCGGAATTTGCCGATTTTTTAACAGCCAATAACCAATAAGCCGATGATTTTTCCGATGATGACGTTTGCCGTCCATTTTGAATCCTGCCTATCGACAAAAATAATTTCGATAAAACCCATTTTTCATCCATGAAATTCAAATACTTCTAAACTTTTTCAAGTCTAAAAAGTTTTAATAAAGTTAGAAAAAATATCCTATAAAGGTGTTTTGTATCTAGTTTTTTTTTCAGAAAGTAGCGGTTTTTGTTGTTGTTTAAAGCGTAATAGTGTGTGTGTGAATGAATTTTCTGTGTTGGTATTATGTACTCAGGTGAATATATGATGTTTGTGATGTTATTCTGAGTGTATATCCACACCGAGCAAGCTTGAAAAAATGCCTGACCACGGTGGAAATCGAACCTAGGACCTTTGGAATACTAGCCCGCGTAGCTCAGTTGGCAGAGCATTGCGCTTGTATTCCAAAGGTCGTAGGTTTGATTCCCACCGTGGTCAGGCATATTTTTCAAGCTTGCCCGGTGTGGATATACTCTCAGAGTAACATCACAAACATCAAGTGCGTGTGAATATTTTTGTAAAAGAGTTGCCAGCCTTAGCTAGGATATTATACTATATGAAAATACAGTGACGTTAGTTAACATCGGAATTTGCTCGTATAATGAGCTACACAAAGTAAATCGCTTGATAGCAAATTGAGACGAACTTTATACGTATTTTTAAGCATTTAATGCATTTTTAAGTGAATACACATTTTGCTGGGCTGCCTATGAGATAACTATACTCTTCAGAAACTGCAAGCAATAAAGATTTAAAACTAGCTTTAGTTTAGGTCATGTATAGAAATGTTTATGCGTTTCATCTAGCAGTACGTATATACGGGCAATCTCAACTGTTTTAAGGTAAAATGACCATGGCGGTCAACATGGCATATAATGTGCCAAAACCTGAATACGGGACAAAAGTCCTTTTTATCGCCGAGTCTCGCAAGTATCGTCCAATTGTCGTCTTTTGCTCTACTTTATTGTAGAATAGTCTCAATGGAAAAATTGAAAACATTGGTTGCACTTAAAAAGAAAAATCTCCCATAACACATTTAGGATCAGAATCAAAAACAGAAGTTTAAAAATAATTTAAACGTCACGCGCAATCTTCGCGAAAACTAGTTGTGTGCTAGGGGGGGGGGGGGGGGAGCAAAACTTTTCAACTTTTCACGAAATGTTTGTTTGCCACCACAGCAATCCAAATGAATATATCATATTTATTGTATTTTTATAATTGGTGATAAAAATACGTAAATATTTATGGTTTTTATCATAAATTATCAAGATGTACAAATTCGAAAAAAAGTTGAATGTCTTCGTGTGCTTTATTTTAACCAACTTTTTTTGAGTGCCAGGTTTTATGACAGTGTAACGAGTGAATTACATGTTATCCAGGATCTTATGATCCCGTCAACTTTTATGCATAAATAAGTACCGTATACTGGCATGAATTCTTGTGAAAGTTAAGAAAATTGATGCATTCACACGATACTCAAATTTATGCTGTACAAAATTATTGGTTTCAATTTTAGAAAAGGCCGGTATAATCACCTGCTTGTCTGACCTTACGCCCGTAAATAGTTCGTTTTGTCTTTTCTGTGTTTAAAAAGATGACATATTTAGAAATATTTTCATTAGCTTCTGAACTCAAACGTTTTCCCTTGGTCGCAGTGATTATGCTATCAAAATTAATGTCTTCCTGTATCTTTTCAATGTCTATCAAAATGTCGTCCATGTTTTTGTTATAAATTGAAATATTGCTTTAATATAGAGGAAACCGTAAAAATCATGAGGCCGGTAGATATTGATCGGCGACTACTAAAGCTAATCAATAAAGATACATTTAAGAATAAAGACAAGGATGCTTATTGGAAGGTATCATTTGAAGAAGGCGTTGTTTCATCAGACGTTAATGACGATGCACTTCCAAAGCTTGGAGATGTCAACCACGATTTTTTTGGTCTTAAGCTAGATCACACACAGTGGCGTTACGACTTTGCTTTTGTTACTCCATCAGGTATATTTATTTGTATATTATAAAACCCAATTGTTATAACTATCTGTGGTAAAAGATACTCTTGTTGCTACGGATTCTATATTGCGTATAGTACATGGTAATATCAAACGGGGATATTTAATTACATTTTTGTTTTGGGGGGAATTACCTGCATGAACAGTTTTTGGAGCCTTTTTTGCCACGAATTTCTGCCCACATTTTGTATTATAGAGTAGACAAGATGAATGCACGTAAAAATTATTCGAAAAAGTGCCATCCGATATACGTCTGACCTGTCGAGGAAATTGTCGCAAACATTACGAAAATGCGACTTGAAGAACAAGGGCAGATTTGGTGCTCGACCAATCAGAGCATTTGTTTACATTTTCGCTCTCAGCCAATCATAATGCAAGAAACGCGAAATTTACACCAAGGCGAACTAGAAAATATTGCCGTCTTCTCGGGCTTCCGTGACATTCAATTTTAACTTTTTTAATTTAAAACCAAAAGATTACGGTGAAGCACAGTAAAATCTAAAATTTTGCCGTGGGCATTTTTAAATTTCGACCTAGAACGGAAAATATCCATGTTTGAATTTTTTCCTTATGTCGCGTATACTAATTTGAGTAATCTAATTTGACAGCAATAAAACTAAAATTTGCTATATTTTCTATATTGAAAATCGTTTTGGTCAATGTGTTATTTCATAACCTAGAAGATAACGCGTTTAGAGGGACTGATTTTCCGCAAAACGGTCGGACAATATTTTTCTATTGATTTCCCGTATGATCGCGAGCATGCGACTATATATTTTTTAAATCAGTCGCTATAAACGCGTTATCGTCTAGGTTTTGAAATAAAACATTGACCAAAACAATTTGCAACAAGAGCGAAAACGTTTTCCAACACAAACTTAAAAGCAGAGAAAATAGCAATGTTTAATTTTATTGCAGTCAAATACGGCTCAAATTTGTATACGCGGCATAGGGAAAAGTTTCAAACGTGGATATTTTCCGTTCTAGATCGAAATTTAAAAATGCCCACGGCAAAGTTTTATATTTTTATGTGCTTTATCGTAATCTTTTGGTTCTAAATTAAAAAAGTTAAAATTGAATGTCTCGGAAGCCCGAGAAGACGGCAATATTTTCTAGTCCGCCTTGCTGTAAATTTCGCGTTTTCTGCATTATGATTGGCTGAGAGCGAAAATGTAAACAAATGCGCTGATTGGCGAGCACGAAATCTGCCCAGCAGTCAGTATATAATCATTCTCGGAAAAATTTACCATAGTTACTTTTCTATTTTATTTTCATCCCCGAGCCGACGGCGCGAAGCGCCGTGCGAGGGTACTAATTCCCCCCGGCTATTTACACCCGGGGAAACGAAAGCATTAGCGAAGTCTAAAGTTCATCAAATATCGCGGGCGTGGCTCACCAACGATGTTTCGGTGGGTGGTCATCCTCACTGATCTCAAAATATGTGGCGGACTGTCACGAATAGCGAAAACTGATTGGTCCAATTTAAAGTTTGCATTATAACGACTGCATGACGACAGCTAAATAGCAAACATTTCTTGATTTGATGATTGATAAATTTCTTGCAAATATCACAAATATATTTCATTTTCGCTCGCATTTTCGCAAGATTTTGTAAATTTCAAGAAAGAAATAGCGAAAGAATCGGCTAAAAGAAGTGAGCCAACGTTAACGAAGGTAACTTTGTTTTAAATATTGATTTTATAATGGATTTAATTTAAAACCCGACGGCCTTTGCATATATGAAACAACTCAACAAGACAGCATATTATTTCAGTGTATCTTTAGTAATATTGATTCCCTTTTTTATGATATTGAATTTTTTAAATAAAAAAGAAAGCAGAGTTATTTGCAAGCGAGAATTCGAAGTCATTTTATTGCAAACTCAGAGTTTATCGATAAAGCCATTTTAAAAGTCAGTTTAGTTTTATAAAGAACACTAGTGACTTTAAAACGTTTTGCGAAGCGTTTGTGGTTGAATTTTACCTTAAATTGAGGCTTATATTACGTATAATAACATACCTAACATATATATGTTGGCAAATTAATAATTTGGTAATTAAAAGTGATATTTTTTAGGCGATTTTTCATTTGTAAGAATATTCTTAAAAAATTATCGTGTTACCATGACAACTACTTCAGATACTTCATGTTCGGAAAATACAATGGTTTTGTCTGTTTGTCAGCAAGGCGAGGGTTTCTGCATGCATGAATTTTCTAGTTTATTCCTGTTTCTAGACAGAAGCGTACGGGTGAAAGTATGGGAAGGCTTACCTCCTGGTAGGGACGAACCACCAGTTGAGGTGAAGAATATTTTAAGACAAGTTTCCCTCCAGGCAGAAGAAGGCATAAAAGCTTGGATTTGTTATCCTTCTACATCTTGTCTGAGAGGGGAAATAATGACACCAAATTCATCGTATGATTGCAGAATCAAATTGCGAGCAGGTATGTTTATTTAAGGATAGATATTTACTAAATGTGCATGAGTTGAAATTATGTTCACTTATTTACATAATTACTGGTTGACAGTTTAAAATTGAATAAGGCCCGTGTAAAACGTCAAAATTTTCGCTTGCAGTGAATGAACTTAGCTTTTCAAGTGCAGTTAACTGCAGTGAATTAACAAATGAATTATTTTCCCTGCTCGCGAGTCCAAGAAGTACGAAACGTCGGGATACTGAGAATTATTTGCCGACGGCGGTTTCTTTATCTCTTTCTTCGTTAAGTTTATAACATCCTTACAAAAACCTTTTTATTATAGCCTAGCGTAGCCATTCTCTGAAGGGTCTGGCTGCATTTTGATACAACTTATACTTGTAATTATTTATCACAACACGTATACATACTCAATAAATATTCAGGCCATGACCAATGTGCTAGAGTGATGGTTATAGTTTTTGATAAGTTTTAATGTATGATTTTCAGACATGCAAATAAAATTGTTGTGATTTATGCAGGTCACCGTTATGCCACCGACAAAGATAGCGTAATTTGTATGGAGGAAGACACAATTCTCTCGGATTATCTTTACAACTGCAAATTTAACAAGGCGTACCCTAGAATGGAATTGCCAGATCCAAATGAGCATGTAATGCCGGAAGATTTTAAATGTACCTTTTACCGCGAATCGAACGAAAGAATGTTTTCCGCTACCGTTGGTGAAGAGAGTTATACTGTTATTGTTTTGGACGAAAAGGGGTGGGACTCAGACTCATCAGCTAAAAGAGATCAGAAACAGGTTTGTATAATTTCAACTTCATAGTTAATTTTAATAATTAATGATAAAGTGATTTGATTTTGGCAAACCAGGCACATGGTTGTTGCAGTTCAGTTCCACAACGATATACGCATTACTATTCAAAATATTACTAGTCTTAGCGTAAAAATGTTTCCAATTATACTATATATATGTACTGCATGTTCATTGCGTTTTGTTGAGTTACCGCTTCTATATTCCTATATGTAATATTCTGCAAGTACCGATGAGGTTATTACTTTTAATTAAATGTAACCGTCACTGAGGGAATTATAACAAGATCCAGAGGCTAAACACGAAATCAACAAGCGCCACTGTTTGATATCATTCCGTGCATCAATGTATGCACTTGCTTAAAAGGTGACAACCTCACCCTACCCTGATCCCATTCTCTCACAATAATTTGGTTTGTGTTTTACTTATTTCGGGCTGTTATTTCACGTATAATGTGCTTGAATCATTAACAATTAATGTATAGATCAAGGTTAATGAGGCAATACGTTCGCCGTCATAATCGGTTATAATTACCTATAAAGGCAACAGGTTTGCCAGCAGCCACCAAGCTCTGGTCAACAGGGGTGCATGGGCGGGGGCGGGGGGTGCATAAATGACGTTTATCCTAATTGAATTCTAACCAACTTATGTTAAGGAATTCAGTTAGGTATCACTAGTTGACAATAGCGGAATAGTCAATATTAATATAAATACAATAATACAATATGTAATATACCTGTATATGAGTTTGTATGCATTTCATTTAGGACAGATAATCTCAACTGTTTTAGGGTAAGTTGACCATGACGGTCAACATGGTAACGCTGCCCGAACCCCAATCCGGGGCAAAACGTCCGAAACTGACCACACCCAAAAACGACGCTTTCGCCATACTGCTATCTACCAAACCGTAAAAGCTTTGGCTATTCTGAAGTGCTTATATGGTTCAGAGATGGTACTTTTGAGGATGGTCATTGGTATGTGTGAAATGCCTAGCACTAATATTTCACAAGAAAATGACCATGCAATTATCATAGTTAAACGTCAATTTGTGGCTTGCAACTTCAGATAAACAGCAGTGGACTTATATTACCTTTTTCCCTAAATCTTCTTGATAGAAACATAATTGGTACTTATTTAAATATATTATCACTAGTTTGGTGTAAAATAGTTAATATTTTCTGACCGAAATAATAATTTGAAATGTGCCTACCTCCTGCAAATAGACGTATTTAGCCAAGTTCTCCATTTTACTCCGTTGTTTATCGGCGATCTCGTCGACATCCTACAAAAAATGTAAATCATCTCAGACATAATGGTATCAAGAACATTTTAAACAAGTTTCCACCTGGTTTCAAGTAGATCATACCTATTTGACCATCGACAAGGTAAATCCACAACTTTGTCCAAATTCGGCCCCATTTTTTCATCCCATGTCGCTTGTTAACAATTCAGCCTTGTTACTCTTCCATCCAAGCCATTTGGATTCCACTAATAATAAATTTAACCCTTTATAACAGGAGGAAACTAAAAAATCAAAACAAAATATAAGAAATACGCCATTTTATCACCATGTAAAATTTTCTCACACGAGTCTTTCAAAACATTCCGCACAAATATCGCGTGACAAAGTAACAGGGACGTGACAGGAGGGGGTAAATTATTTCACGAAGATAGAAGAAGGCTGCGTGAAATAGACTAAAAGCTAAATACAATCATACAAATGTTTGTTTTATTTCTTGTAGCGACAAATATATACATATTATTATTTATTATAAATATGAAAAAGTCATACAAAGTAAATGTTGATTGTTGGTTTTACCATACTGTGTGGGCTTTCCTTTCATTTTCAAGTCTCTAACCCCCCTGTCACGTCCCTGTTGCTAAACTACGCGAGATTTGTACGGAATGTTTTGAAGGACTCGTAAACAACATTTTACATGGTGATAAATTGGCGTA